CACTTTCTCGTACTCCCCAGTCAGAACCCAGTGCTGTGCTTGCGCCTGAGCCACAGAGCGTGGCTGCAGACAGCGCCGTCACCCTGCAGGGTCTCGCTGAAGTTCACTGCCGTCAGCACTTCCCGCTGGACTGAGTTGGTGGAGTCACAGTGCTGTGCTGAAAAGCTACTTGCGTCACATCGTTTGTTTCTGTGTGGCTACTTGAAATACAGTTAGGTTTATTACTTTTTTATTTAAGGACTGTTTTCTTATTGATTTAATTTCTATCTTTTGAATTTGTAAAGACATCAACAATGTTCAAGAAATTAAAATTACGCTCAGCAGCATGCTCAGAGGAGCATCAGTCCCTCCTGTGCCTCGTCCCCCTCGCCTCCAGGAACCCGTTTCGTAGGAACTGCTTTTGCCGTTTGCCTGTTCTCTGTGATTTCTGGTCCCCGCCGCCCCGCTCCGCCCCCCGGTTTTATAGCGTCCTCATGTATTAGTGGCATCAGCTCTTCCTCTCTGCTGTGTGTTGCAGGTATTTGCTCTGTTTGCTGCCTTGAGTTTTGCTTGTCGTAGTTTCTCCCCCATGCAAAAGATTTTGTTGTTGTTGTTACTGCAATCAAATTCATAGCCTGTTTTTCCTCTCTCTCATTAAATCTGGATTTTGAGTCTTAGTTAAAAAGTCTTTGCCCTCCCTCACTCGGGTTATAAAGGAATCGCCAGGGTTTTCTCCGAGTACTTGTGTGGTTTCATTCTTTATGGTGAGAACTTTGCCCCATGTTATTTGTGGCGTATGGAGGTGTCCCAACACCGTTCCTTGGAGAGCCCACGTACCCCCAGGAGTCATCTCCCTCGGTGTCGTCTCCCTCTTCTGTCCCACTACTTACTGCAGTCTGGGAGGGCGAGTGATGTCCTGGGAACTGTAGGGTCCTGCCTCTTCTTTCTAGGGGTTTCTGGCAGCTCTTATATTTTGAACTTGAGTGTCAACTTATCTTGCTTAGAAAGAAGCTTATTGTTTTTTATAGGGATCGTGTTAAATATAAATTAACTTACATTGACTTATTTATCACCCCGGGTCATCTTATTAGAGAAAGGGGCTACTTTTCCACTTGTGCAAGTACTCAGTGTATACATTGTATATTTCTTGTTAACTTTGTTCCTAAGTAGTTTATCTCTTTTTGTTGTTGTTGCCATTTTAACAAAATAGCAACATTCTCTTTCATCGTATATTCTAACTGGATATTGTCAGTATTTGAAAACTATTGGTTTTTCTGTTGATAATTTCATATTCTGCTACCTTACTAAAAATAATTATTGTTTGTTTTATTATTCTCTGGGTTTTCCAACTAAATGTGCCATCTGCAAAAAAGTGTAATTTAATTCTTTATTTTCCAATTCTAATTCCTCTGGTCGTTTTTTCTTAATTCCATTCACTGACACCTCCAGTACAGCTTAAAAAGCAGCAGATGGGAACGGCGTCCTTGCCTTGTCCCTTATGTTGATGGGGTTGTTCTCTGGATGACTTCTGAGGACTGGGGTGTGTCTGTTTTATCCTGTAGAAGAAGTGTTTATCAATTCCTGTTTTCTTGAATGTTTTTTTTTAAATCAAGAATTGTTCATTTTTATCCAATGGATTTATCATCCCTGTTGAACTGAGCTCATGGTCTCCTTGGCTGCACTGACACAGGGGAATTTGTTTATGGGTTTCCGCACACCAACTGTGCTGCTGGGTAAACCTCACTTGGTCATTTTACTATGGTATCGTGGTATTTTATGTAGGGTTTTGCATTAATGTTCAAAGTGACACAGATTTCCTTTTGTGCTATTTTAATCAAGATTAGGTATCAGATTACGTTTGGTTCATGTAAGAATCAAAACCAAGAGTGTGGAAATTTTTCTTCATTTCTCTTGAATTATTTTATGTATCATTTAGATTATTTTTTCTTTCAAGACAGTAAAATTCTCCTGTGAGACCATCTGGACCTGATCTGTGTGGTAGTTCCTTGATAACTATATTTTTCTATAAAAATTGGTGTGTTTGTGCTTTATGTCTCTAGTGGGGTCAGTTTTTGGTAAACTATTTTCCTAGGCTATTCATTTCCTCTGCATTTTGAAACTTATTTGCATAAAGGTGTGTAGAGAAGTCATTTGTGCTTTTTTACAAAATCCTTTTTAATGGCTATTTCTCCTTCGTCATGTTTGAGTTTGTATATTTATGTAAATATACAAGTAGTTGTACAAAGTTCTTTTTCCTTAATTAGGTTAGCTAGAGGTTTGTCTGTTGTACAGGTGAGTTTTTAGTAGTTGTACAAGCTCTCTGCCCTCGGCCTCATCAGCTTCTCTCATCTTTCTCATTTCCTTCTGTGCCTTTTTAGTTTTTTTTCTGGCATTTTGAGTTAGGGATACAGTTCACTTTTCTTTGTTATTACTTGTATTAATTTAAGTGTTTTTAGTCTGACTTTTTCTCTAAGCATATTTTGGGGTTCTGATATGCAGTAATTTCATTTTTATTTTTAAAAAAGAAATTCTGCAATCTGCATTTGTAATTCCATTTTTACCCAAATGTGGTTTAGTAGATTTTTAAATGTCCAGGTTTTAGGGCTTTTTTGTGTTTTGACTGTGTTGTTATTGTTTGGTCTCGGGCTCTGATCAGGCAGTTTGCCTGCTTGTACCGTTTCTGTTTTGTGGAAGTTTCTACCCTTTGTTGCCTGACGTGACTGTTGCACTAACACCCACACAGCGTGCACACTGCCTGCCTCTTCTCCACTCGTCCGTTAGCACCTCCGTGATCCCTCTGCGTGAAACACCGTGCTTGCTGATGAATCTGTGGCTGCTCGCGGCAGTCTCCCTTGAGGGTGGGCAGGGGCCATGGGCGGGCGTGGGGGGGTAATGAGATGAGATCAGCTCACCGGCCCCCACGTCGCCGTGTTCTCCTGTTTCGCTGCAGAGGAGAAGCAGGAAGCCTGCACAGTCTCTGTGTCCCACAAGTTGCCCAACTCACTGGTGTACGGAGCGGACTGGTCCTGGCTCACCTCCTGCCGCCTGCCGCAGATACAGCCGGCGCCTCCTGTGGGGTCCTCTCTCCCAAGTGACCCAGGAACCCAAACAGCAGAGGCGGCCAATAACCTGAAGGTTGGAAGCCAGTTGCTGGGACCTCCCTCTTTTGACCTGCTAGTGGGCCACGATGGAGAGGCTTGTAGCAAACCCCAGAGTGGAGCTAAGGGAAGGCCTTGTCTGCAGCCACTCACAGAGGACACGATTTTAAGCAACAGCCCAGGGACCAAGATCTGTGATTTTGACCTGTACCTGGAAACAGCAAACTTGGACAGCAGCCTCCTAGCCACTTGTTCCTTCTACAATCATGCACTTCACCTCTGGAAGTGGGACAGCAGCTGAGCTCTCTCTGGGGAAGGCGGCGTGGGGTTTGAGTCTCGAGGACCGGGGCTGCAGTGACGTGCCCTCCACACCATTGAGACTTATGCCGCAGACTGCAGGTGCAAGAGCCCAGTGTGTCTTATGGGATCTACAGAATAAAGTCAAGAAAGCTGTTGGCTTCCCTTAAATAAACCTTATCTGCTGGGCCCTTCAAAGTGGTGATTCCATCTGGCTGGGGGAAGGTGCGAGGCGGTGCAACCAGGAGGGCCTGGCCCAGCTCCCAGACTTAGCAGTTTCTTATGTAGATCTGCCTTGCAGTTCCTCACACTTTAAGCAATTATTTATATTAACTAAATGAAATTTTTTTTAAAGCTACTTTATCATATCAGAAGTAGTTTATGAACTTTTAAAAAGATCACCCTGTCATGACATGTTTAGCCTCCCTTGCAGGAAAGGTGTGTACGCTGCGTTGCCCTAGCGTGCAGTGAACTCCAGTGTCAGTGGGGTGGGATAATCACGCTTCCTCGTTAAGGATCCGAGTTTGCTGAATCCTCGGCTTCACCGATAGGATCCACGGGTGTCGAGTGAGAAACCGTGCACTTCAACTTTGCTGCATTTTTTGATACAATGCAACTAGCCACTCTAGGTCAGAATGTGTTTCAAGAAATCAGTCCACTGTATGGTCCGTTCCTAGCTAACGGCCCACTTATTCCAATAGGGAAACAGCCCCTCTAGAGCTTGTTAATTTAACACATGGATAAATAAGTCAGCGTCCAGAAGGCGGGAGGGACGATGCGCTGCAACAGGCACACGGGAGAGACTGGATGACTAGAGAAGTGCTAGCTCTGGCGCTAGCCCGGTGTGGCCTGTCTTTGGGTCTGCCCCAAAGGGAGCGGTTTCTTTCACCCGATCCCCACCCACACTGCTCTGGGCCCAGACAGGATGAGCTCATCGCCGGCTGGCAGAGAGGGGCAGAGAGGGGCGCCAGGCAGCTGGGGGATGAATCGAGCGGTGCTGCCGCGTGGCTGTGGCGTGAACCGCAGGCTGAGCGAGGCGTTCTTGCTGCTGGCCTGCTGCCCGCAACCACCGGAACAGGCTCTGCGAGCGCCGCCTGGGTCAGCAACCCCGACCTGCCAGCTGCACGCTTTAGTTTCACAATGACCAGATGTCAAAAATAAGCTGCATGGTAGCTAAGGTCTTTAATAGACGACGTGAGGGAGCCGGCTTCCCGCCCCCCACCTCCGGGGCCAGGGTCGTGAGGATGGCCGGGCGCCACGCTCGGCTTGCAGGCCACAGGAGCGCTGCCGCTAGCGGGGGAAGTTCTTGGGGTACAGCTGGAAGAGCTTGCCTTCCTGCGAGGGCTCGAAGCCGTACTTCTCCAGGTGCTCAGGGTCGAAAGTCCCGTCCTTGAAGTCCCTTTCGATGGCAGGCGCCGCCGTTTCCCGAAAGAGCTGCTCCGCCGTCAGGGGCGTGTCCGTGCCCGCCGGGACGCGGTAGTTCACGTAGGGCTTGAGCTTGAAGCCGGCCAGCTCGGGCACCACCAGCTCCGGCACCATCTCCTTGACCAGCACGAACTTCCCGCCGCGGGAGTGGACGCCAGTGCCCTTCGTGCCGCGGCTCTTGTAGAAGGTGCGCGGGCCCCGCTTGCTGGTCCACTTGCTCATCCGGTCGGCACCGCGCACGAGGCAGCGAGCGGCCGCGCTCAGGAGCCCCATGCCGGCCCTCACCCGCCCTGCCGCA